AGACAACTGGAGTGTGAAGCAGACTCCTATATATTTGCACCATGTCAATCTTGGCTATCCCCTGCGTCTTCTGCCGGTTGGTTTCGCAAGAAACAGTTGCTTAGCCTTCCAAGTTCGTTGTTATTTTTTATATCCTCAATGTCATGAAGGGTAGGTGACGAAATTATACGGACACTTCGCCACGGTCTCCACCTCTCCTCCTTTCTCAGTCGGGCTTGGCACCAGCAACGGCGGAGTTTAGTTATTGTCATTTTTGTTAAAATTAAACAGTGTCCACTTGTGGCATAAAAATGAGAATCTGCAGGCCCTCTGAGCCACTCGAAAGAAAGGGCCAAAAATGCCGCCAGTCATTGAATAGTATATGAAAACGGCCGGCATCGAGGCATTTACAAATCGTTACCTTTCTGTCTCTCATACTTTTATTTTATTTACTTTTATTGTGCTTTGTGTGATTAAGTAATTCATGAAAGAGGGTAAGACTTGTTCTGGCAGGTCGGTGCGCTCGTCAGACAGCTTGACTTGATCGCTGCTTCTGTAAGTAATAACTAGGTGTGGTAAAACTAACAGAAGGCAGATTCTGTAAAAGTGACTGGTCATGTGTTACTCATTATCGTGGTCGACTCATAAATGTTAAAAATCACTATCTTCAATTAGGACAAAGATGTTATTGCCAGTGCAAGTTAGTGTACTCAACAATATTTCGAACGGCTCTTTGTACATATGGCACACATTCTACTGAGCGCCTTAGCTATGAGCTTGTGATTCGCGCTTAAAGCTATGAAGCTCATCTGCGGAAGTAGAACCAATGCCAGAAAGATAAATTTTCTGATTGTAGTGAATAAGTTGTCATCGTATTTCAGGTGTGAAAGATGAGATAGACTATCTGAGGTACATGCAACTCACAAAATGTACAGTTTGTTATGAAAAATTGAAAAGTAATCTCACGGTGCGCCAATCAAGTCAACGATTAAGTAGCTGCAAAGTGACAGTAATGCTTAAAAAATCTAAATTTGACGTAAGATATTCTGATTAATAAAGTAAGACCAGGGACGTCTAATTGTCTAGCTTCCTTCAGATGTTTACCATAATTTTAAACTTTGTTGGTAATCATTATCGGTATGTGCTGCCAGCTGTTTTTGAATGCTTTTGATATGTTAAGGTGTTCTTCCTTGCGATGAAGTACCATGCTGTTACTGCTTCACAATCGATCTCATTGCAATAGATCTGAAAATTGTCGGATGGATGTCAGCGTCTCTATAGATTTGATTGTGGCGTCGTTGGCCAACTATTTGCGTGTTTGACACATGTATATATATTTTTTGGCGGTAAAAACATTCTGCACTGCATTATCGCGTCATTCCATATTCAGATACTGATTTTTCTCTATTTCATAAACGTAGGCTAGAATTGAAAGACATTTGCTTGATTAACCACCTGCCCTCATAGTTTTGTTGACACTTGAATTTTTGGTCAATTGAAGAATCTAAAATCTTAGTGTTGATAATTGTGCTAGAGTAATTTCCTGATATAGAAAGAGTATCGCAGTGTTTTGTGATAAATGCGAGTTATCCGAGCTCTACTTCTAACCTGAACAGATGCTAGTTCCCTTAAGTTAGCAGTTCGTCTTAATATTTAAGAACATGTGTGAAGCAGTACACTAAAGGATCATGGTCATACAATAGCCTAGAAGTCAGCTTCGATTTCTGGAAGGGGTGGGTGATAATGCTTTAACCGCGAATTCCCTCGAGCAATAAATTTACCACACTCGGCCTTGCTGCAACCAGTCGAGAAATATGTAGCAAGTCACTGACAGACTGTTCTGAATGACGAGAGCTTATGACGCGAGCGCATCGTAAGGCTGCAATTCGCCTTGTCCCACATGATGGCTGATTATCCAGTGTGATAATCAGCTCAAAGTGTAATCTCGGTAAGGAAACGACATAGGAGAGTGCGGTTCCTTCATCTAATCATATGCAGGCTTAGGAAATTTACGCTAATGAAATTCGATGCAAATGCTGCACGATTATGATGTTCACGGTTCAATACGGTTCGTAGGCTCTAAACTTATAATTTAAATTTTCAACAGTAAGAACTTACGTTACGTCGAACCATTTTAACTTTGGTCATCAATTCTTCAACGCTGGTTTTTATCTGGACGATATTGTCCCAGGAGTCGTGATAAAGTTCTTCAAGAAATTGCTGCGAAGCTTCGATGACGTCGTTCAGTTTCGCGAGAAACAGTGGTTCGGTTATTGACGTGACTTTCACAGCCACCATCTGCAGGTTCCCCTTTACCGCGGTTGCCATGTCTATGCTTTCCAAAATGATCTTTAGACTTTGTTCAAGGGACGCTTCCGTTATTCCTAAATTAAGAATTTTTTCGAGGAGTCACTTGTATTGTTCATTAGCTAATAAGTAATTCATAAACTGTTAATTAATTTTGCCATGCTGTTTTAGAAATTTAACAGTTTGTCGAAATGACAATGTGCTAGTGAAGAGAAAGCATATCAAATTTTGAAATTGAATCGTTAATTTGGCACAGATTTGTCGCTCATTTTTCATACACTGAAGTGTCGTTAATCCGGAGCGTCGAAAATCCGCATTGCCTAATCAGAAGAAAAATTTCCTGCGGAGCGAGAATCGTAAAGTCGTTTAAAGTGAACGCATTCGCATCTGTTCTTATTACTGGAATTTGGATTCAACCATCTAAGGTAGCCACGAGCGAGTGGGATGTGGGAAGAGCAAATTGACACACTGGTTATTAACTCCCTCCAGTGAGAGAATGGGGGTAACGTCGGCGAAAGCGAGACTGTCAGTGCTGTTAAGTTCAGTTACATGAACTGAGTTGTACGTTTTGTTAATTGCTATTCTGATTGTGTTTGTGTATAGCTCCGTTTTTCTTTACATAGGGCTTTTATCTGTACTTTTTGGACTGAAATGACTTCGGCAAGATCTGAAAAAAAGACAGCTTTTTAACAATCAAGAAAAAAATAGAATTTTTATAGAAAATGTGAAATAGAAATTTTATAGAAAATTTAAAATAGTGGCGCATCTTTGGCAAGATTGTATGGATTGGGGACATCAACCATCAGTGATGCGAAGAGAAAGAAAGGCTGCTTACTGGAGTATACATCAGAGTTGGACTTTTAGGAGGGATCAAAGAAACGTAAAACTTTTCGAACGGCAAATAAATCAGCTTTAGAAGATGTCATGTATGTGTGGTTTACACCGTTATCAGGTCTTTTCGTTTGTGAAAAGGCCCTGCGATTCAATGAAAAACTGGGCCGCTCAGCAGATTTCAAGGCTAGTTCCAGCTGGCTAAATAATTGTAAACTAGAACATGGCACAAGAGAACTCGAAATTCATGGGAAAAAATTATAAAGTGATTTAAACGCCGCAGAGACAAACTAAAAAAGGTTTCCGGCTATGGTTGGAGATAAAAGATACAGCAAAGATAAAGTATACAACGCTGACGAAACTGGTGTAAAATGGCGGGCTTTACCACGAAAGTTACGAGCTTCTTGTTGAGAGCAGTTGGATCCAGGTTACGAAGTGAGTAACGAGAGAATAATCGCGGTGGTGTGTAGTAATACAAGTGGAACTCATTCTTTGTCGTTAATGATTATTGGAGAAAGTAAAAAACCCCGATGATTCAAAAATGTTAGGTGCCTATCTGTGTGTTATAAATAGCAAATCGCAAAGTTTTTGAATAACTAGTAACATTTTCAGAGACTGGTATGTGAATAAATTTGTAGGACAGTTTTGATGCGCAATTCTTGCCTCCCAGCGTAACAGCATTCCTCCAGCCCATGGACCAAGGAATCATTGGGAAAAGGAAAAAATGTACAGTAAAGGTACAGAAAAGTTTTTTGTGCCGCGTGCTGCTGGTACAACAGAATGAAAGAAAAGCGTTGTGGCTTTTACGAAAGCACTGAATCTCAAGGACTGTCTTGACGTGCTTGAAGGAGTCTGGGATAGCCTGAAGCAAAGAGATTTGGAAAATGGATGGAGAAAACTGTGGCCTAAAGAAAAGTAAGCGCTAGAAAATCAACCTGAATGCGAAGATGATAAAGCGACGTCAGTCTTGGAAGAAGTTAAAGACGAAGCGATCGAATGGCTGGAGATCGACAAAATTAACCTCGGCTACCAGATCCTGAGTGATGAGGAAATTGTCAACCCTGTAACCATTTCCGAGGCTCCTGTAGATGATGACGACTCTGAGGACGTCGACAACGAGGAATTTACCGGGCCGACTAACGCTGACGCTTTTAATGCTTTGGAGGCTGCTATGAGTTGGTTAGAAATGCAGCCGAGTGCACAACAACCCAACTTGCCTGTCTACGAGGAATTACAGACTTGGCTGCCAAGAAACGAAGTAGAATTCTTGTTCAAAAAAATTGAAA